ATGAATCTTTGAATTGTTGTTTATGAGGTCTATATATGAAGTTGATTTTTTTTAAACTAAAAAAAAAAAAAAAGAATTGGGAAACTACAAAATCGTGACCGGTTCGCCGGTTTACTACGGTTAAACCGGCTAGTTTGGTAGGTTTTTAAGTGGTTTAGTTATAAGCGGTTAACCGGGCACGATTGGCCCAATTTTGGGCTCGGTTCCCGTTATACCAATTGAATCAACCGGGCTGGTTTTGACAACATTGCATTTTTCACATCCAAATCCAGGTTTTATTTCACACATTGTGCCAAGAAATTGATATCTGTGCTGCGATTTCGCGTTTACCCATTTTTTCCACTGTTTATGAAATCCTTAGTAGTCTTGAAGAAACTTATATATTCATCCTGAAATTTTACAATTCAATAAGTTCCAAGGGGAGTTCGTGCTTGTTGAGATTGTATTTCCAACATCCTATTTTCTTGTTAACATATGCTAAATGTGGAAGAATTCACAACGCAGAGCATGTATTCAAGTTGATGGATAAACATGATGTCGCTTGGAATGTGATGATCCTTGGTTATGGTTAAAGAGGGATGGGATATTTGGCTGTGAAGTGTTTTCCAATAAATGCAAATCTTGGGAATTAAGGGTGATTCTGCTACTTCTATACCTGTTTAGAGTGATTTGGTTCATGTGTATGCCTAACGTGGACGCTCTGTATTTTCTCAGTTGAATAATAAAGAGTAAGTGTCATGGAACACAACGATTGGAAGGTTCAGCAAGCAAGGGGTTGACGGAGAAGCTCGGAAACTCCTAGAGCAGATGAAAATTTTCGAAATTCATCCTAATTAGGCCACTTTCAAATTCGCCATCAGCATGTAGTCATTCAAGTCTTATCGAAGAGAGTTCAAAAAATCTAACAACACGAGAGCCAAATGGTGATATGAATAAATTAGTTACATTTCAGACGACGATATTGGTGTCTATATATATATTAAATTACAGCAATTAAGGTAACATAGCCCCTGGAGATTAATCAAATTATATTCCAAATGACACAAAAAATTGGACTTCGAAAATAAAGATTATACATGAAATATCCAAAGTTGCACTAATCTTGGTTAAGAATTAGATATGCACATATTACTTGTAATCAATTTGTAAAAAATTTCTAGAAGATAATTCAATGCGATCCCTCGTCGGATGTCACACATGATGAATATATCATTGAAACTAATCCACCACGGTCTCCGATGGTGAGTAATCTCAACTCACCTGCTAACAGTATTGTAGCAAGCAACTTTCTTTTGAATT